GAGAGAGAGAGAGAGAGAGAGAGAGAGAGAGAGAGAGAAACTGTTATTTCTTCCCTTATTATGTCTCTTAGGTTCTTAGGTTTCATGTTTAGAAAAGAATCCCACATCACAGATATAAAAATATTTTTTTCTTCAGTAGTTTTGTCATTTTATTTTTTCCCCTTTAGAAGTAAGTTTTGTGGAAACTGAGGTAGAGATCTAACTCTAATAGCTAGTTGTCTCAAAGTACTGTTTATTAAATAATCCATTTCCCCCCACTTAAAATCCTTTTTATCACATACAAAATTCTTTTGTTCTAGGATCTTTTTCTGGACACTCCATATTGTCCCTCCCATCTGTCTGATACAGTCTGTCACACTGATTGAATCGGTGCCTGTAGGAAAGACCTCTGGAGAGCCCAGTAGGGCAAGTCGCTTTACACCTCAGCACCACTCCAAACCCGTCCGTCAACACAGAACTATCTTCATTCCTCCCGTCTTTATTCTTCCCAATGAACTTCAGAACCAGCTGAATCTCAAGAAGTAATTCGATTTTGCTGAAATTACACTGAATTTATGGGCTGAAGTGAGAAGAACCGAGATCTTTACAGGAATGTGTAGCAGTGCATCAAATTATGGAAAGCTCTTAGTAGGTGTTCTTGATTCTCTTAGATTTTGCCAATAGGCAGCTTTACTGTTTATAGATAATGGAATCTAATTCTTCCCTATCCCCTCATCAGCTTTATGGCAGGCTGGGTTGCCTCGACCCCAAGACAGCAGCACACCCCTGCTTAGATCCTGACTCTCATGGGATGCCTGTGGTGTCTGACTCTTTAGAATGTCTGAGAGACCTTTATGTAGATTAGGATATTTCTTCCTAGTCTTCCTAAGAGTTTTAATAAGGGATAGGTTATAAATGTTACCAAATATCTTTTCAGCATCTGAAAGGACTCTTACAAATTTTTCTCTATTGATTGCAGCTAAAATAAAAGCTCATGAGCAGCCCTGTCGCCTCCTAATTTAGCCTGCATATCCTCAGTCCCTGCCAGGAATACAACACTTTTGCCCAAGGATGGGCCCAAGGTGAAGCCCCAAGGCCTGCCCATTGGGCATGGCACCAGATGCCCTGTCAAGCTGCCCAGGCCTGCAGGATCTTAGAGGCTAGATTTCTTTCCTAGGAAAAAACTTTCTAGGGCCAAACCCCCAGGACAGGAAGATTTTTGGGGGACAATGGATGAACAAGGGGAAACAAAGAAGGGTCAGGTAGGGAGGAAGACCCCCCTTCCCATGCCCTTGTCACTACCCCACCACACAAGTCAACACACAGACCCAGTGCCAGTCTGAGGTGGGGTTTTGATACCTCAAGTGTCCTAAGACCTGTCCATGTGCCTAGCAAGTCTTTCCAGTCACCCCGCAAGCCAGGGCATGTAGGCCAAGTGGTACTGAGAGTAGAGACTCTCAGAAAGCAGCGAGACCCTCAGGCTCTTAGGAGAAACAGGGATTCCTTCTGCTCCTCCACCCCACTGTCAACGTGGGTCTCCATTTAGAACCACTCTTATCTTGCTTCTCACACTGGAACAGGTAGCCTCTAGATCACCACAGGGCCACCAGAGCCAGCCCTTTCCAATAATTACCTGCACGGACCACAACCCACTAAACCTCCATCTGCCCCTACGCCTCCTATACCTCATCCTGGGAAAAGGCTGGGAGCCTAGGCTGGGGCCCCGCTCGGCAGCCACACTCAGCCCAAAGCAGAACCTGGCATAGGCCAGCCTGACCAAGGCCCTCATCTCCAACACCTCACTGCATCTGCCCTACCTGCCCACGGCTGGGTGTGCGGGTTGCCTCAAACACAGAAGCAACAAACAGAAAGTGAGGGCAGAGCCCAGTTTGTCGCAGTTCTGAGAGGCAGATCGGGATGGGATACCCGGGGTGGCAGTCTCTGTGGACAAACTTCTTTTGAGGCCACGGGAAGCCCTAACCCAAGCGGAGGCGAAAGGTGGCAATCTCCATGGGCTCCAGATATAGGTCCGTGCTGTTGGAGGGTGAGGCCAACGGGTAGAGCAGGGTCAAGGAGGTTGACTGCAGGAATACCACGTCCAGGCCATGGAAAAGGCCTCCCAGGGCTACCTGCGGGAGAGGAGGGCTGGGGTCTGTTGGGTGCCACCACACCAGCTAATCCATGCTGTGTCTGTGTTGCTTCTCTCTCTGATAATCAGACGGAGCAGGGCCAAGATGTGGGGCGGTTTGCTCTTACCACACTTTAGTATCATCTTTGAAATTTTAACCAGAGTAATTAGGCCAGAGAAAGAAAGGAAAGGGATACAAACAGAAAGGGAAGACTCACATTACCCTTGCTTGTAGATCGTATCATGCTCTACTTATAATGCAAAAAAAAAAAAAAAAAAAAAATTTAGAGCTACCAATGAATTCAGCAATATAGCAGGATATAAAATCAATAGCTTAGCCAGGCAAGGTGGTGCAAACCTGCAATCTCAGCACTCTGGAAGCCTGAGGAAGGAGAATCACATGTTTAAAACCTCACTGGGCAACTTAGTGAGACTCTGTCTCAAAGTTTAAAAAAAAAGGGGGGGGTGGCTAGGGATATAATTCAGTGCAAAGGTCCCAGGTTCAGTTTCCAGTACTGAGGGGAAAAAGTCAATAGCTTTACTATATACCAATAATGGACTAGCTGAGAAAGCAATCAGGAAAATAATTACATTCATAATAGCTTCAAATAAAGTCAGATACATAGAAATCAATCTAATCAAGAATGTGAAAAACCTCTACAATGACAATTTTAGAACACTGAAGAAAGAAACAAAAAGAGGGTCAACGAGATAGCTCAGTGGACTAAGCACCTGCTTAGGCAAGTGCAGGGACCAGGGTTCAATCCCCAGTTCCCCGTGCCCATGCTGCATAGGCCCCACCCCAGGGCATGCTGAGCCAGTGAGGAGCCCAAGTGTGGTGGTGCACACTTGTAATCCCAGCACTGAGGGGGTTAAAAACAGGAGGATCACTATGAGTCTGAGCTGCATAGTGAGACCCTGTACCAAATACAGAAAGAAAGAAAGAAAGAAAGAAAGAAAGAAAGAAAGAAAGAAAGAAAGAAAGAAAGAAAGAGAAAAAGATACCAGGAGGTGGAAAGACCTCCCATGTTAATGGTACAGAATTCATGTTGTCAAAATGGAGATGGCTCAGTAGAATACTGAGGTCAATCTCCAGTTCTGCCAAAAGAAAAAACAAAAACAAAAACAAACAAACAAAAAAACCCAGTTCATTTATGGGCTGGTGAGATGGCTCAGTAGAATAAGTGCTTCCCTGGCAAGGACAAGGGCCTAAGTCCAATCCCCAGTTCTGCCAAAACAACAAGAACAACAACAAAAACATTATCAAAAGTGATGTACAAATTCAATGTAATTTTATTTTCTTTTTGCGGAACCGGGGATTGAACTCAGGCCCTTGCGCTTGCCAGGGAAGCACTTATTCCACTGAGCCATCTCCCCAGCCCCTTCTCATTTTCTTTTTCAATGTAATTTCCATCAAAATGGCAATGACCTTATTCACAGAACTAGAAAAAATAATCTTAAAATTCTTTTGGGGTGGGGGAATTCATTTAGAAACACAAAATATTCACAGTAGCCAAAGCATCTCTAAATAATAATAGGGCTAGTGGTATCACAATACCTGATTTCAAATTATATGCACAGCCACAGTAACAAAAACAGCATGATACTGCCACACCAGGTTGACCCATGGAATAGAACTGAGGCCACATGAGCAAACTCACACAGCTACCACCATCTGATGCTTTTTTTTTTTTTTTTTTTTTTGGGGGGGCGGAACTGGGATTGAACTCCAGCCCTTGCGCTTACCAGGGAAGCACTTACTCTACTGAGCCATCTCCCCAGCCCCAACCATCTGACTCTGAACAAAGGAGCCAAAAATATACATAGAGAAAAGACAGCTTCTTTTACAAATGGTGCTGGGAAAACAGATACCCATATGAAGAAGAGTGGACCTGCTCACCTTGCCTTGGCTTGTGGTGCAGTTGAACCCCAAGTTCTTGGCCTCGAGACCACAGTCGAAACCCTTGCGGTGTAAAATGAGCGCAGTATCTGCTGAGGGCAAGTTATCCTCCTGGGAGAGCGACAGGGTGTGGGCAGTGAAGGGCAGGCTGGCACAGAGACAGGGCAGAGGCTGGAACTTGGCCCTGGAGGCCAAGGCTGAGCAGGACACTCACCTCAGCCTGGAGCATGCGCAGGTTGAGCAGGTGGAAGTCACAGGGCAGTGAGGACACCAGAGGGTGAAAGGCACGCAGACTGGGGCCTGGGGATGGCGTCTTGGCAACAGGAAAGGTGAACACCGGGGTATTCAGGTACATGGAAGTCAGATGGCTGAGGAGGGACGGGTAGCTGGTGGAGCGGTCATCCTGGACCTACAGGAGGGGCCAAGAGGTGGGTGAGGGCACTGCCAGGCTGAGGGCGAAGGGGAGGTCAGCACAGCACATAGCTAGGTCCCCTCCTTTGCAAAGAGCCTTCCTAGTGGGTCTGACACCAGGCCTTGCACCTCAGATCCTTGATGGGTGGCTATGTCCCGTGGTGCCCAATTCAGAGAGACCACTTTTTTTTTTCTTCCATGATGCTGTCATGAGCAGCACATTCATCAGCAACATCTCCCATCACAGAGACAGACAGACAGACAGACAGGCAGGCAGGCAGGCAGGCAGGCAGGTAGGCAGGCAGGCAGGGACTATAAGACAGACTGATATACCCTTCCATCTGCACAAGTGGAACAGAAGGGTGGGAGATGAACATCTGATGGAGAAAGTGCTGAGCCCTCTGGGGTCCCCAGGCTGCTGCAGGTCCATAGTGCCAACCTGGTGCTCAAGGCCCTGGTTACTGTGACTCTGCCCCAATGCCACACTCATAGGCTTATGAATAACTGTCCTCCAAGGCCCCTGCTCTCTGTATGATTCTGGCCCCAGAACACCCAGAATCTACTTCCGTTTCCCCTGATCGGGCCGGGGTGCTGCTGAACCCATTTTATCCACCACTACAGCATCCTAACAACCACCCTAACTTCTGCCCACTCAAGGCTCAGTCCAACACTTCCTATTTGAATCACCTTTAAATTGTCGACCTGCTGCCTGCAGCTGGGGTCATTCACTGCGGCAGAGTCCTGACAGCATCCCTCTCCAGGTGCCCTTCTCCAGGTGCCTGGTGTTCCAGGCCCTTCTCCAGGTGCCCAGGCTCTGTGGCCAGGCTTTCATGGCCACTGTGGCTGGCCCATCCACCCTACAATGCTCAAGCCCAGCACTAGCCACAGAGCCTCCTGCACGGAGATTCATTGCATCTGTACTTCTAAATGGTAGCACTTGGGACCATGAGAAATGAAATGTGCCCAAAAGGAATAAAAAACTTATTTTTTATTTCATTTTAATTCACCGGGACAGTCAGGCATGGTGGTGCATGTCTGTAATCCCAGCCTTCGGCAGGCTGAGGCAGGAGGATCACTACGAGTTCGAGGGCAGCCTGGGCTACAAAGTGAGTTCAAGCCATTCTGAACTACATAGTGAAACCCTATCTCAAAAAGACTAAATAATTCACTGGGGCAGTCCATTTGCTGGTGACTACTACACGTGACAGCACAGATTTGGTCTAACTGAAGAAACCTTCCTTTTTTTTTTTTTGGTGGAACCGGGGATTGAACTCAGGCCCTTGCGCTTGCCAGGGAAGTGCTTAATTCACTGAGCCATCTCCCCAGCCCCCTGAAGAAGCCTTCTGCTAGTCCCCATCCCATGTCTTTGGGCCTGCCACCCAGTCAAAGCCAGGCCTGGCCCAAGCTCTGTGATGTCTGCAGCCCCCACCGTGACCCTCTCCTCAGGACCTGCGTGCACACGTCCATTTCCACCCAGTCCCATTCACTGATAAGCTCCTAGGGCTAGCAGCACCGTGTGTCTCAGCTCCTAGCACTGCACAGGCTCAGTGTCTACATGGTGGGTGTGGCTGAGCCACGGGCCCAGGGCACCAATCCGTGGGCTCCAACTACAGGGACAGCTTGCTGGGCATTCCCATCACCCACCCTTACCTTTCGGTCATCGCTCCTGCTGCTGGGAAAGATCAAGCCCCTAAGCATGGCTGCCAGTTTGGAGAAATAGCCAGGCTGGTGGGGCAAAGAAAGCCATGAGATGAGTGGGGAGGAGTAAAAGGTTAGGGGGGCAGGGGAGGGCAGCAGAGAGGGAGGTGGGAGACAACATGGGCACAGGCGACAGTGGGGGTGGCAGGGTGCATGAGATGGTCAGCGAGATGCAGACAGCTGTCATAACCCGGAATTAGCCCTGCTCTGCTGTGCTTTCCCTGAGCCCAAGGCTGGAACCCCCGGTCACCCTGTGACAAGCCTGCCCTGGCCCCTGGGCACTGGGCCCAGGTTTACCTCACTGCCCACAGTTCGACGTTCAAGCAGAAGGCGGAAATGGTTCCAGGTTCTCTTGTTGTCCTTCAGACCTTGGCCCAGGCCCCGGTTATCATCCTGCATCAGCCGCCTGTCCAAGATCACCTCCAGCTGACCTGGGGGAGGAAGGAGTGAACCCCAGCCTACCACCCCACCCCACCCTGGAGCTGCCAGCTTCCCAGGATGAGTCTGACACAACCCGAGAAAAAGCCCAGGAGACCAGGAGCTCAGGCAGCTGGGAAACAGGCTGGGAGGGCTGAGAGACGGTGGCCCCGTGTACCTGTCTCACAGATGAGGAAAGGGCAGGCCCAGAAAGTGTAGCCACACTTGGTGACTCAGGAGTGAGGCCCCAGCCCAGGAGCCCCAGCAGGAAACCCTACCTGGACTGGTCACATAAAACAAACTAAGCAAGCAAGCGAGGCACTGAGAGTGACACCAGGCCAGGTGGCCCAAGATTCCCTCCTTGGCCCACATTTCAAGGGCTATGACTCAAACTACCTGTGCTCTACATGGCAGAGGACAACCAGGGGCTCAGCAAGCCAGATGCCAGTTCTGATGGCCTCGTTTGTCAGAAGTTGGGCTGTGGTGAGGACAACCAGGCGGTGGATGGGGAGAGGCTCAGAGGCCTCGGGGCTCCCTGGGGAGCACAGATGGCTGCCGGCCACCTCTACGCTCTCTCTCTCTCTCTCTCTCTCTCTCTCTCTCTCTCTCTCTCTCTCTCTGTCTCTCTGCCCCCCCTTCAATACTGGGGGTTACTGAGCTCAATCCCATGGAGGTATATCCTATCCTATTCCCTTAATTTTTTTTTTTCTAATTTGAGACATTTTCAATTGTCCAGTTGTCCAGGCTACACTCAAACTTGCTTCCTGCCTTGCCCTCCCAAAGCACTGGGATTACTACTGGGTACCACCATGCGTGACTCACACTTTTTTTTTTTTTAAATTTTTGGCACAGGGTCTAAGTCACTAAATTGTCCAGGCTGGGCTTGAACTTGAGATCCTCCTGTCTCACCCTCTGAATGCTAGGAGTACAGATGTGTCCCACCATCCTGGCTCATCTCTGCTTTTTTCTTTTGTTGCCATGCTAGAGATCAAACCCAGGGTGTCACACAGGCTGGGCACATGCTCTGCCACTGAGCCTTGCTTCAGTCCCTCCTCTGCGTTTTGGAATGTGCCCGCAGAAGGGGCTCACTGTGAAGCTGACAGATGCTGGGTGAGCACCTTCCTGAGCTCTGGTGTTGTTCTGGAGACACTCCATAATCCAGGCTGGCTTTGGGCTCAATATACAGCCCAGGCCTGTCCCAAACTCGGAATCATCCTGTCTCAGCCTCCTGAGTGCTGCAATCACAAATGTGTACTACTGTGCCTGTCTTTTCCGGCTCTCTCGACGAAAGCCCACACCCCTTTGCCACCCAGGTTCCAGGTCTTCATCATTTCTGCAGCCCTCATTCTGACTTCTGTAATTTATCACAGGAACCCCAAACACTGAAATGGATCCCTTGTATAGAAAACAACCCAAGGGGCTGGTGAGATGGCTCAGTGGTCTAAAGCACCTACTTAGAATAAGCTTATCAAAGCACAGGGACCATGGTTCAATCCCCCAGCACCACATGCCAGCCAGCCCCGCCCCCTGGTGGGCTGAGCTGGCCACACACACACACACACACACACACATAAATAAATAACTAAAATTAAAAAAAAAAAAAAAAAAAAGAAAACAACCCAAGAAAAATAAAAATTAAATAAAATTTTAAAATGTGGGCCGGGGAGATAACTCAGTAGAATAAGCGCTTGCCTGGCAAGCTCAAGGTCCTGAGTTAAATCCCCAGTAACACAAAAATAAAATAAAATAAAAAACAACCCAAGAGGGGCAGGGACTCTGGCAACAACCAGGAGTCAGGAGGCAGACAGGCCAGCTGCTCCTCGCAGAGGGTGGCATGGTCACACTCCTCCTCAGGCCCCACCCCCAGCCCTGGAGGCACTGAGCTCAGCCTGCACAAAGCCTTTGTCCCATAGCCAGGGAAACAAGGGCCTCAGAGACCACCAGGCTGTGGGTGCCACCCACAGCTTACCCAGCTGCCAGCTTTGTCTCCAGACCAAGGCTCCTCACACCCTTCTGCTTTGGTGGAATACATAGTGTCTTGCTAGGTATTCCAAGCTGGCCTCAAACTCAATATGTAGTCTAAACTGGACTCAAATTTGCACTGCTCTTTATGTCTCTGTCTCTGTCTCCTCAGCCTTTCAAGTGCTGGGATTATAGGCATAGCCAACAGGTCCAGCTTGGATGCATTCTTAAGAATTAAACTGAGGCAGGACTAGCCAGATAGCTCAACAGATTAAAGCACTTGCTTAGGCAGATGCAGGGTCAGGGATGGGGGGGTTTCGATCCTCAGCCTGCCGTGCATGCCCAGCCCCACCCTCGGAGCACACTGAGACAGTGATTAAGACTGGGCACGGTGGCACAAGCCTATAATTCCCGTGCTTGGGAAGCTGAAAACAGGAGAATTACTATGAGTCCAATCTGTGTAGTGAGAGCTTGTAGACTCTGTCCTAAATATATATATAAAATAAAAAATAAAAAAAAGAATTACACTGAGCCAGGTGTAGAGACACATGCCTATAATCCCAACACTCTGCAGGCTGAGGCAGGAGGATCACCACAAGTTTGAGGCCAGCTTGGGCTATATTGTTTTTTGGGTTTTTTTTTATTTGGCGGAACCGGGGATTGAACTCAGGCCCTTGCGCTTGCCAGGGAAATGCTTAATTCCACTGAGCCATCTCCCTGGCCCCCAGCTTGGGCTATATAGTGAGTCTAAACCCAGCCTGGATTGCATATCGAATCCCTGAGTCAAAAATGTTTTGGGCAGCCAAAAATGTCAGAGTACATCAATTTGTATGGGTACAAATTCCCTATGATGAATATGATCATTATATATATATATATATA